CTTCTTCCAGGAAGATTACCATAAAAGGAAATTTTCCAAGAATCAGTGGTGAATGAGTGAGAGTTTTTTTTTTATTTATTTATATTTTTATAAAATATTAATATACAATTTTATATTTATAATTTCTATAAAATAAAAAAATGTTTTTTTAAAACAAAATTCTTCTTATACAAAAATTTTTATGTTTTTAAGTATGTTTTTAATTGTTCTTGCACATTTATACTATTAAAATAGTTTGTTTTTGAATAGTTAATGCTGTTTTATTAGAAAATATGATTTTTTTTTAATTATTCTTAATATATTTTTTGTACAAGTTATACAAGCTTCTTTAATAGCAGTAGTAAGTATAAATATTTTTAAAAGTAGGTTATTTTTATAACTTATTTTTGTTATATGTTTAAAAATAGTTGAATATAATACTTGGGTATTAATATTTGATAATTTAATTGCTAAAGTTGCCAAAGTTCTTATAAAGATTCTTAAATATTGAACAATTACTTTTAATATATGAGAAGTCATTTTTTAAAATAATTATTATCCAATTTTCTTTAATTATTATTTTTAGAGTTTAATTTTTTAAGATTATAGTAGATTTTTGACATATCTATACCAGTTTTGAAGTATATTTCATTTGCAAAATCCATTCCATTATTTTATAAATATAATATAGTTTGTTATTATATGTTTTTTTCTAAAGATCATATTGTAAAATTTGTTTATAAAAATAATCAATTGAAATTTTAAGAGTATTTATATATTTGTTAGAATATGTTGTTTATATATCTAAAATTTCATATAAATTACTTTTGTTTTAAAATAGTTATTTACATTTATATTACATAAATAAAATTCCAAAAAGTTTTGCAATGCAATGTGCATATATGAATTAAATAAAATATTATGCTAGGCAAGGCTCAGCTAGTTAAATCAAATATATATATATACATAATAATTAATTTTAAAATATGTACACTTCTCTGACATTGATCACCAGACGCTGATCAAATTTCTGACAAATGGTAAAAATATTATTGATTTTTTTTTTATTTTTTTAAAATAAATATATTATTTGTATCTCAAATTTTTTTGTCCAAAACTAAAAGACTAATATTATTTATTTATATATTTAATATTTTGTAGGATTGCCTCTGGAAATTTTAATAGCCTTAACATGGTGAGGCATGCTTGATACAAGATTTTTATGAATTGAGGCATCAATATTAAACCACTCTTCTTGCAAGAAATTGTTACTGATTGATAGAGAATTGTGCTTACGAACCCGACATTCCAATTCATCCTAGAGATATTCGATTGGATTAAGATCTGGATTCTGTGCGGGCTATGGAAGACAAGAAATATTTTTTTCTGCCATCCATTTTTTGACAATATGTGCTCGATGAGTTGGACAATTATCATCCTGAAATAAATAATCAGAATAACTCTCTAAGTATGGTAGCAAATTATTATCAAGTATTTTTATATAGTCACTAGCTGTTTGTTGATCACTAATTCTAACTAACGGACCTAAACTATCTGTTGTAAAACACTCCCAAACCATTACACCTCTTCTATCAGATTTAAAAGTAGAAACTATACAATTAAAATCATACTTTTTCTTGGGTTTTCTCCAAATATAATCACAACCATCACCCTTAAATCGAGATTCATCACTCCAAATAATAGATTCCCACTCTTTTTTCCATCTCATTTGTTCTTGTGCCCATTCAAAATATATCTTGCAATTTCTTTCATTTACAAAAGATTTTCTCTTTCCAACTTGACCATAAAACCCTTTAATATGAATATAACATTGTATTGTACGTGAACTAACTTTTATTGTTGTATATTCAGTGAATTTGTTGGTCAAAACATTTAAGATAGATTTTCTATCTTCCTTTACAAGACGAATAAAATGACGAACATCCCATTCACTTAATTTAGGTACTTGTCCAAAGTGAGGGGAAGGTTTGACTTTGCCAGTTTTTTTATAATGTGTAATAGTATCATAAATGGTGGTTCTGGGAGGTTTTAGAGTCTTTGCAATCACTGGAGCCTTTATTCCGCACCTCTAAGCACCAACAACTTGGTTGCGTTCTCCTTCGTCAAGTTCTTTTCTTTTTTGATTCATTTTGTATAAAAAAAAAACAAAAAAAATTATATGTGCCTTAACGGGTAGCTAAAGTTTCAGCGAAGGTGCAAAAAAAAATTAGGGTGGATTAACATGCATGTTTATGCTGGTAACAAACCTGAAAAAAATTAATCGCCGGCGTTAATCATACCCGATTTTGAAAAATCTGGTGATCAATGTCAGGGGAGTGTACAGTCATTCATATAGATATATTAATTCTTTATTTCTTAAAATATATATAACATACAACATAAAATATATTTATACTATCGATTTTTTATAGACGTAATTAATCATTATAAATTTTTAGAATTAGTTTTAATAATGGCACAAGTTTATTTTAATTGAAATTGGATTTATATGCAAGATTAGAGTAAACTTACAATTAAGTAGGATTATGATACCTTATGAGCTAAAAGCAATAAGAATAACAACAATAATAATTACGATTTTTCTTGAATTATATTCAACTACAATTGAACATATTGTACATCGTTATTCTATCCATAACATTTTTTTGTAAAAAGTAATTTCATACAAGAACTTAATAAAAAAAAATATAATGTGTGTAAAAAAGGATTGATGTGGAAATCTCTAACTTTCACTATTGTTCAAACCTGAATTTTCTAAAAATTTTTTTTTGTTTTTTCGTTTTATAAGAGAAATAATCAAACCGAAAATATTAGCAATTCCAAGGAATCCTGTTGTGATACTGAATACAATACAATTGCTTGTTGCTATTAATATTCGTTGAAAACTTCGACACAGATTTAATTGAAACCGCAATAGAAGTATAAGAATTGACTCATGCATTACTAGTAATATTAAAAATACACAGGTTTTGGTTTAGATTCGTGTGATTGGCCCTGTTATTTGTGATATAAACCAATGCAATTATCAGTAAGTACTGTATTTATAAATGACATAATTCTGCAATTTAGTAATATTTTTTACTGTATCAAAAGTAACAATAATAGAATCTTCATATATAGTTACCAAATGCTCTGCTAAAGGTGGTGAGTTATAAAAACCAGTCGAAAGAGTAGAACATATCAATTATATGACGTTACGAGCGTATCCAATACAACAAGGTTAGGATTTACTAAAATATAATTTAATCCAATCCTCCGTAAATAAAGATTTGACTGTTTTTTACTTTAAAGTAGATTTAAAAACAACGGTTATTTGAATCAGATTTTAAAAAGATCTATAAATAAATATGAAGCTTACCAAGTATATCAGTATGAAACATATGTGCCTATACACTAATATCTTTAGCTATCTGTAATTATATGTTATCATGGTGTTGAATTTTAATATAAAGTATTTCCATTCCTCACTATCGAAGACCAAGATAACCGAGTTGTATAAAACGTTTCAGCTAATTGAAAAATACAAATGTATTAATATGCTATACAGTGCATTGTCCCTCGTCTATACATATAGTTATTAAATATTACTTGACTCGAATAAATTATTTTAAAAGCTTCATTATCAACACATTCCCTTTATTCCGATGTAAACTGTCATACTATTTTCTAGAAAGCATGACAATATAATATATCCGTGGAAATGAAGAGCTAGTATTTGATCGAATAGTTATTCATGCATTTGCATTAAGATCTAAAATTCTTATATTATATTTAATATTCAAAAGTAATATAATTGATAATTATGGATCAACTAAAATAAATACTCTTTCTGTGTTATTAACAACAGCATCTATTTCTTGTTTCTTGTTCGGTACATTACTACTTAAAATCGGCATTTCCTATTTTATATTATTAGGATTACATTAAATACTGTGAAAATAAATTAATCACTATTGTATTAACTTTGGTCATTAATTCGTTAATAGTAAAAAGTAGGGTTATCTAGAGGGATAGCGATTGAGATGGTGTAAGTAGGAGAAATTGGAAGGCTTGCTTCTAAAAACATTCATGATGAGCTATCGGTTGAGAGTGAATTAGATAGATCCAGATAAAATATTAAAATTATATCTAACATAGTAAATTTTCGTGTCAATCATATTTTGTTTGGCAAGCTCTTGGATGCGACTTAAACTAAAACTTTTCGAAATAAAAAATAAAAGTAGGGAAATTAAGCTTATACTAAGTTGTATTTTGAAAACAATTAATATTAATATTAACTTTTTTGTGAGAATACATATCGAAAGTTATCTGTGGATTTGATAATATACCAGAATCACATAATACTATCATGCTCTTGATGGTACTGTATTTCGTTTTTGATAATTTTAATTTTAAATTAATGTGACTAACATGAGAAAATCATGCAACGATCCGTTTATCTAGTATGTGAAAATACAAATGAATAAATGGCGTGAATGGTACGAGAGAAACAATTAATTATCACATGTTTTCTAATCTGATGACTTTCTATCTGGTGATTAGGGTATCCGATTTCAGCTTTTTCGGTACCGCTAATTTAGGTTTTTGGTCACATCAAATCGGCAAAATTGGCTTAACCAATAGATCTACTGTATATAGTGCTAAAAAAAATAATCACGTAGTTGTGGGCGAAAATCATGACTTAAATAAATGAATGCTTAGTAAGATTTATAACAATAAGCATAATACAGTATACACAGTAATAGTGTGTATAAATAAAATTGGCGGAATCGGTAAATCACTCGCCGAATCAGAAGATTTTGTGCAAAACCGTACATATTCGGCCTGCACTGTAACCTGGACACCCTAATTTAAGTGTAAAGCAATACAATTACATTTCATATAAAAAGAGACATCTATACGGTAATTGTGGACAAACATACGATATCTGCAAATTACTACTCACAACTATTTTATTGCTAATCGACACGATAAAAAGCAGTCTGATAGTCTTATAAATTATGGACAAACAAATAAATGTGGCCATATTTGGAATTACTGGAGGAGGAAAATCCACCATTGCTAATATGTTACTTGTTGGTGACCTTTCTGATAATAATCCTTTTCAGATCGGTGACTGTGCAAGAGGAGTAACTTCTGATCTTAATCATTATTTTAATGGAAAGTTTGGAGTAATTGATCTACCTGGATTTGGTGAAGGACCTTCGGGAACTGTTAAACATAGTGAGGCTATTAAAATAGCTAGAGAGCATTTTTCGGCTATGGAACTTCCACTAAACTACATATTCTATGTGAAAAAGAAGGGCAGGTTTACCGAAGCGGAGCATGTAATGTTTAACGAATTTAAAGATATATTTAATGATGCTGAGGATAAAATAGTTATAATAATTACTAACTGTAAAGAAAAAGAATGGATTGTGGAAAATAGCAAAGAAATCAAAAAAAATTTTGGTGATCATCCAATTATTGGTGTTAATTTTCCTTTTAAAAGAAATAACGAAAAAGAAAAAACGAAAAGAAAAGAAAGTTTAGATAATTTGTTAGAGAAACTTTCATTCCTAAATTATGAAGGCATTATTCCGGAAGTTTATAGTTCATTTGAAATTGCCGAGCAAAAAGCAGAAAAATGGGTTAGTCTTACGACATATTTGATCGGTGGCGGTGTAGCATATAATATGGTCACTTCTGGTGTCTATTTTATGAAAGGAAAGCCAAAGATTGCAAAAGAACGTCTTAAGAAAGCACTTACTGATGATTTGCTTCATACTGCTGGTCTTCCTCCACTACGCGAAGGTTATGATCTTATTGAATCTTTTTTTGAATAAAAATTAGATTTAAACAGTTTATTGATTCTATTTGACATGTCATCAACCTTACTCTTTTCTATTTTATTACATTGGGGAATTTTTTTTAGCCCTTGCTTTTTTTTTCTCCATATATTTATTTATATTCATTTATTTATTTATTAGCATAAATTTTTTCTTCTGCACGCAAATGTTGATGTATATAAGTTCATTTTTATGTTATATTTATATATAATTAAGTTTTAAAAATAATATCTATTGGCAATGTCTTATTTTTCAAATTTTGCACAAAACCACCTTTTGTGTGAAGATATTGTAACAGGGAGAAATGGGACGCGACGTTAGTCACATGACCGATCGACGTGACCATGGTAAGTCGGCTGTGAT